CTGCTTTCATAGATGCATACACTGATAGTGATAGAATAATATCTATTGATAAATGATCTTCTTTATTGTTAGAAAGGTGCATAGCTCTACTAAAACAAATAAGTACAGTGGGTGAGCAGTTAACAAACTTAATCTGTTCCAAGACTTTGTTCGTTAACTGATTATCAATTTACCGTAGGTTTCTATGGGAATTTGATTAATTCGTTCTGGAGACTCCCAAAAAATAAAAAATATATACATTTCTACCATGTTTATTCGTATGTAATAATAAAAATACATATGTACATGGTCTTGCATTTTTATTTGTCATGTTTTTTTCGTTTGGGGGTTAAAGAATCTGTCCAGTGTCGATTGCTTTTCTGTCTTCTTCATGATTTTTCAGAAGTAATTAATCGCATTGTAATTGTAGAGATCCCTAAGCCTATTAACCTCAACCTGGTTTTGATGCCATTTTAAGACTGTTGTTCTGACATCCTCCCACTTCTTCAAAAGATCTTTAATAGCAGATACCAGCATAAATCCGCTTTTTCAGAAAAAAACATAAAAGAATTGTTTCAGTCAGAAATATAAAAGGCTGGAATTACATGGGAGAGTTTTAAAGTTCGGGGGAATACTATCCGATCAGTATATACTGGGTTGAACATTGATGTTGATGTCTGTCGCACTCCGAAAAGTTTCAAATTGTTGCCTGAAGTCAAAGGAAGACCAATCGGTATTCGTTATTTTACGTCGCTTCTTCTTGTGTTTGTTCAGAGAAGTGTTTGTTATTCGAACATGTGTTTGTTGTCCGATCATAGAAATCTTTTGTGAAAGTATTCATTACCCAATTTGTTCATTAACCGATCACCCACTGTATTGAGCTAGTTTTAATTATGCAAGTGGACATATACAAAACTTCTTTGAAAAAGGAATATCCGAGATATTACTAAATTTGTATGGCTTAAAGTAAAGCAGAAACAATACACAGTTCAAATCCAAATTATTCTATTTGGCATCAATATGGTTGTTGCCTGCAGTAGAAGGATATTGTTTGAAGCTAAAAACATCAAGCGAGCAGAAAAACATATTTGGGTTTAATTTTTATAAATGCCAGAAGTTTTTAGTTTTTCAGCATATTTTAGAATTTAAACAACGTAAATAATCTAATAGGCTTTCAATACCATAGTTAAATTATGTTACAAAAAACATTACATTTTAGAAATTTTTTCTGAATATAAGAATTATTTTCCCAGCTATTATGTATAACAGAAGGAAAGTATGGTGACTGATAAAAATTTTCAAAGATTTTTACATTTTTGGACTTGGAATCTTTAAATGTCAAAAAATGCAAAGAAAAAAGTTGGAGATTTTTTTTTCTGTATATATGGTATTAGTGTGTGTTGGGGGCATAATTATGTCACTTACTTACATTGAAGTTTAATAACTCCTATGTCTTTTGTGGAAAATTTTGAAATTTTGCAGAGAGGTTTGTGTATTAGGGGATGGTGCTATTAAATTTTAGCAGTGGCATACCATCCATGGAAGCTGTGGAAGTGCCACTTCCTTTGTATTTTCTGAAATATAAATACATATTGTGCAATTATTTTCATATTTTAATGTATTTTGAATTAATTAAAATTAATATTTTATATGTATCTTATTACAAATTTCTATACATGTGAAAAACAATGATAGGATCGCTATTGTATATTCGTATATGCATATTCCCAATGGAAGCGCTGTATTGTCGAATACGGTCTTCCATTGGCGAAAATATCTGAATCATGTAAAGCCACCAGATTACAGGCATTCGCGCATGTGCTTTATAGAGCACCAACACTCATGCAGTTTAGCTGGTGCATGCTACATTCCAAAACATCATGTAACTCTTCCAATGATTCTATCCATTAGCCACTTGCAGGGAGTTATTTGACTAAGTGCATTGTTTTAAGATATAAAAACTAAAGAATATTTTGTTATTTTATGTACATTTCTTTAAGTATTATCCTGAGAAGCTCAGCTTCTACTATACTAATTAGATGCTGTTTTTTGCCTTTTTGCGGAAAGTCACACATATTTTTAGACCCATCTAAAAATTTTCTAATTAGCCTCTGAAGAAAGGGAACGGAACCTCATTCTTGCACCCAATGAAAATGATTAAGATCGGATGTGTAAGATAACTTTTGATAAACTAAATTGTATAATATAATACAGTAGAAGGGTTAGAAGTACAAAATTAGCTAATCTTAATGTTTGTTTTTATTTTTTGCACAGGCAACGTCAAGCTTACATGCTAGTTAACAATATAAATAGTTTGAAATAAAATCTCATAACAAGCTGGCACCAAACACAATTGTAAAGTTTTTGCTGGGAATGTTATGCAACTTGTTGCTTTTTTTTTTTTTTAAATTGATTCCTACAAGAAAAATCTGAATAAGAATATTATTAAAATTCAAACATTTTGAAAGTGAGAAGTTTCTCTTCCAGTAAAATAAATTATTAACTCTAAGCGCTAACTTTTCTGAGATAAACTTCAGAGATCAAGATGATAGACAGCTTGATTATATAATAGTTCCAGTAAGAAGAACTGATATTATTGGTAGGTCAAAATTACAATATAGCATAACTCATTACAATTTTTCCACACATTTCTTACTGTCACACCTATAAAATCTGCATATTTGTAAGATTCATTCACAAAATTCAAAAGTGTAAGTCATTAGGAAAAAATCTCTATCCAAATTCCATGTCTGTACCTGTGCGGATGTCATGCCACCATGGTGCAAGGCATAGATTCTTATAAGTTACACGTTGTATGTATATAAAAATATGAATTTATAGAATTTAATATAAAAAATGCACTTATGTATATATGTTGTATATAAGTGCATTTTTTTATATTAAATTTCTTTTCTTACACTTATTTGACATTGACAGTTATTTATTTTCAAAGGTAAGTCGAGCATTTGGTCTCCTCCATTCTTATACTATCAAACAGTTCTGATGTGCATGTTAGTGTTTAGGTAATGCATCATGTATGGTCTTTTACTACAACACCAATTTACTTACATGTCAGAATCTCTGCTTCCTCCAATTGTGTCCATCCAGGAACAGTTTGGTTTCTAAAGTATGTATGCCTCTTGCTCTATTCCAACAACATACCAGTAGATAAATCAATTTGTGCATATTTTTAATAAGAATTTAATAATAATCTATATCTGTACATTACTGACTCTATGGGAACATCTTTTTATTGATGGAATGTGGATTTTTATGGGAACAGCATTCAAATTTTTCGTAGAAAAATCCATTAATTGTATCATTTTCATTTAGTAAATTCCATAAATTTTTTTTAATACCCATCATAGATTTGGCCGGAATAATTACTGCCATGAAATTGAATTTAAATAATTTCTTATATATTATTAATGAATGATTACATGTATATGCTTAGTTTCTTTAATTACAAATGTTATCAATAAATTTAGCACAGTTAGTTCATATTCCCAGATGATATTCAACTCTCATTTATCCTCTTGGAATTATCATCAAAAATAAAATCGTCAATATGTGCATTATATGCACTATAGAACACAATTATTCTCTATATTATGCAGTAATAAATATGCTATAATATGCACTATTGTGTGGACTAAGAAGTAATTTAAATTAACAAAGTGTAGATATAAACCACACGAGGATACTGTCCGAAAAAACAGTGCAATTAATCTTTATCGAATGTTATAATCATTATGTAATTGTCTTTTAAATCAACTGTGGATTCATACAGTTCAAATGCATCGACAGATTACTATCAAAAGATTTTAAACACTTTAGTTGTTTTCAAATTGTTAAGTGATTACTCGACATTCATTTTTTACACTGCTTATGATGTATAAACAGGAAGTTTTCATGTATTAGTGAAATACTGTAGAACATTATCTTTTGAAGTTAGTGGAACTTGGTAATATATTGAAAATGAATAATAATCAATCACTTCTTTGGGTTACCAAAACTCTGCCATCAGTTTGACAGTTCAAAATGTCAAATTGATGTGGCCCTACAGAGCTGAAAATGTCTTTTGTACAAATGAATAATTTTCAGTAACACAAAGCAGTCGAATATTGTTCATAACGTTATCTATTTGTAATATTTCATGTTAAATTATACAGGTGCAATTATTATTGTTATTAACTTACTTGGCTCTTTAAATTTAATTAAATATTTAAACAAATTCTTAACTTCTTTTCTAAATCTCAATTCCAATACATGACATTTGTGTGTTACATTCTTTGTAAAATTTTAACCATTTATTCAACTTGCATTAATTAGATTTCCTGCATAAATCAACGTTGCGTATATGTACATTTTTTATGATAGAATTAATTTTCCACACGATTTAAGATTCAATAATGATTATAATTGAATTGACGAACAATTTAAGTCTTAAAAAAGCAATAAGTTAAATAAATTGTATGTTAATTAAAGCCAGCAATTATTTATTGTGACATCACAATGCCAGGCTGCAATTTTTAATATATTTCATTTAAAAAATATATTCTCTCCACCTCAAATTAGTACCGTATTGTCTTGCCCCTGTATATCATGCTTTTTCATTAGCAACGAAGTCATGCCAGTCATCTATTAACTGCTTTTGGGGGGAAAAATTTCAAATTGAAATAACAACTTCCAATTTGTATCAGAGGTTCATTTATAATTAATCAGGGTTTCCTGAGGATTTCCTATCTGGTCTTATCTTTCATCTATCTAATTCCATTCTCAAGATAAAAGAATGACAGTGGGAATTTATAGGTCTATGATTTTTTTCAAATTGCAGCCAAATTGTCTTCACGATTTTTCTTGGCTTTAGATTCTTAGAATATAGTAAATTAACAGAACACTTCTTGATTAATTTGTAAGGACAAAAAGCTAATTCATTCAGTTTCTTTAACCGAGAGGTTACTTTTGGTCAAAACAGAAGTACAAGTTTTGAGCCCACAAAAATATTTAATCTTACAAGTGTTTCGATTAACAGTATAATTGTTAGATCTAGAAGAGAAAAAATAAATAAGGAATATTATAAGAGACCGCAATAGCAAAACAACCAAAAATACAAAACGAAATTTCAGTTATACAACTAGCATCCTTGCTTAGTATCTGTTCCCAGTCATCAAATATCCTAAAACAAGAATGATATAATGGTGCTTTCCGTCTTTGTTATTCCTCCAATCACACAATTGTGTATTTCGCTTTAGGAAAGAAAAAACTGTAGGATTTTTGTGGGTTTCCTAAAGCGAAGTCGGACACTCGCAGATTCTGGCAACAACAGGGAGGAAGTCGTGGTCGAGGAAAGAGGAAAGCACTCAAAAACGTGACCAAAAATGACTTGTGGGAACGCTTAGAGAAGTGGTGCGGATGCCAGCTCAAACATATAGCTTTTTCGATGCAGTCACCAGAGCTTACATCAAAGGAGAAGTAGGTGGGTCTGCATGTCTCTCCGAAACTTCTCATAAAGTGAAAAAACTATCTTTGAAATTACACTGGTTAATTTTTTCTGCTTGAGATTTTTTCCACAAATTTGACAGTTACACTGTGTGCACAATGTTGCAAGTATGCAGATTTGTATATAAATAGACGGGCTGGTTAACTACCAGGCAAACTTGGGCAGCGAGTGCCAATCGACCACAATGATCTTTATCCATTCCATCAGCACTTAAGTGGTCCTACTCACTTCCAAATTTCTAATATGTCTATAATAGAAAGTTATCATATAAATTTTGTTTGAAGCAACATGTTACTAATAATAATTTCTCTTTTGTACACGATTGTAGGAACATGCCTTTGAATCCAGTCAGAAATATAAAGAAGGCAAATTCATCATCGAGTTGGCCCACATGATAAAGGAGAACGGTTGGGACTAGACATGGAAGACGATCAACCGACGACAGGTTTCTACCATGGAATATCATTGGATTTGCAGAAACGGTTACGTTAAAGACAATAGGATTAATTCCGGTAAAAAAAGGACGGTCTGTTACGACTGTGTTCTCTCTACCGTCGCCGATAGTGAAAAAAGACGACTCGACTACCAGCCTTCATCTCTCGACGTATCGACGTTACTTTGTTTTTTCTATGGAAGACGACCGTAAGTTGATGATATGTTACGCGGGCGCACGCCGCCCTCTCATCATCGTCATCATCCGACTGTACTCTGCGTGCGATTCCTGATACTTAATACGAAGCTAAGCCGTACTGTTTTCTCGCTCGGCGCGTTACGCCGCCTTTTCCGTAACGGGGGACGGGTAACGGTACACGAGCTACGACCTAGTCATTTAATTTTTAAAAGACTGAATTTATTTTTTTAAATCACTACTATTTCTCTTATTTTTTTAAATTTCCGCAAGAAAAACAAACAAACAAAAAAAAAAAAGAAAACAACCGACAAGGAAGGCGGTAGCTGGGTATCACACGCTGTAAAAATCATCACTTACGACAACTTTTCACTCACCATACTTTGTACATTCATGACTTTTTGTACCATTATTTTTTTTCGCTTTTTAGCCTCCATGCTTAGGTATAATCATACATTAACAATAGTTGGCCCGTCTGGAGCGCGTCGACTTCGTTTCGCTTTTTAAATTCTTCTAGTACTTGTGACGTAACTCTTCTTCTCGTTCAGGACGTAACAGAAAACAATACTTTGTAGCGTGGTCTTTCCTTTTTACTATCTTCGGATTTTAATTCATCTCGTATCCTAAGTGTCCTTTCAAAAAAAAAAAACAAAAAAAGTTTCGTGTGGTATAGTGGCATTCCAAAACTATTTTGCTTAGGAGTCGATTAATCTGTACATTAAAAAACACACGGCGGCGTCTTTACGCAAATGGGCGTTTCTTTTGTTTCGTTGTCTTAGACTTAAAACAAAGAAAAAACTTTATCTTCCAGTTGCTGCAAAGTTACATAGAAACATCAGTGATCAAACATTATCAGGCTACTAGTCCAAACACGTGATAAATAGAAGGCAAACGTAACGGGAAAAAACAAGTATATATACATATATACATATATATATAAATGATGTTATAATAATACATAAATTTAAGCGTAATTCTTTGCAGCTTTCATTATTCACATCACACCACTCCGATAGACATTTGTTCGTTGCATTTCAAATATCTATTTGGGATTTTAATGTATCGTATCGCAACTTAGGCAGCAGTCGGTTGCGGGGAGGCGTTTCACACGGTAGAAAAACGGCGAGGGGTTCAGACGCAATTAAAACACGAAATTTAAAAAATAAATAAATAAGAAAAATGGGGAACGTAAAACTTTCCAAAAGGTACTTAGGGGGTATTTATCACGTTATTATTATCATCATCATGCATGCAACCGTGCAGGTCACACGTGCATGAGATGTGTGGGGGCTTCGTAACATTTATTTTCTGTTAATGCTGGCCAATAGCAGATATCGTTCGAAAATCGTTTCAAATGTGGTGGCGTTGTTGTTGTTGTTGCACGAGGAGTATTATCGGTTTCCTCTTCCGATCCGCGACCCCCCCACCCAACCCGTGCGCTTTTCCCGCAACCGACAGCGTCGTGCCAATTTATTGTATTTAAAAAAATAATCCGAATAATATACCATTTGCACTAGTTTTTTCTCCCCCCCCCGTGTAAATAGGAGCGAGGTGGTAAGAAAGGGTGTCTAAACATGTATTGTTTCTTAATAGTAGCGAGAGTGTATTTTCTCAATAGTGATGTTTTTAATATTCCGAGAAACAAAGGGAAAATAATAATAATAATCTATCCTGTAAAGTGAAGCGTTTGAAATGATCTACAGATAAACGTATCCCGATATAAAACTCTCCCCCCCCTTCTGGAATGTAACAAAATATGACTATTGACGAAACACTAGAAAAAAAAAAATAATAATAATAATAATACTTTTATCTGTGGATCAGATCTCAGGTGTTTATTTAAATTTTGTTTGTTCGTCTTATTATTTTGTACAGTTTAATTTAGTAAAAATGCAGGAGTCAATGCAAAGAGCACTCGTAACATGTACAGCCTGTTTCCGTTTCCGGCCGAGCCTAAGTTCCGAGCAAAGAAAAAAATAATAATAATAACGAAAAAAAGTTTCCTTAAAAATTTGCCCGCGTGACCGGTCCCGGGAGTATGCGTGTTGTGTGTTAACGAAAAACACACGATAATTCCAATCAGTGTTACGTGTAGTGTTTATCATTAAGTGTGTGTGTATGTACTGTACGTCGGAGGGGGGGAAGGCAAGCGAGGGAAGACGGCACTTTTTTCCTACGCGTTTCGTTTCCTTCCCCCCTCCCCGGTTTATTTCTTTTATCGTTTTTTTTTTAAGGGAGAAATTTAGGGCTTTTTACGTGTGTACAGTGTCGTATATATAATTATCGATTTATGATTTGGTGTTTTTTATCCATTCTTAAGAATCGGTTGTGTGACGTGAGGTCGCGACCGGCGAGGGGTCGCCTATAAAAAATACTAAATAAAACGAATTTAAGTTAAATATATTTATTTGTATCGAATGTCTCTAGCCTTACGACTTGTGCTTCCTTTTGTTTTCTAAATAAAGCTTAATTTTTCTGCTTGGTGTATATATACACATATATATATATAATATATACATTATATACTTTGGAATTTTAATAATTCGAGATCTTCAAACGGAACAACAATTTCAAAAAAAAAACAATGTACAGTAAGTACGGTACATAAATAATCCTATAATTTGGTAACACGGAGCGTACAAAGCACTTATCCGGCCGTATAAAATGACGTCATTTATGTGTAAGTAGTGTTCTTACACTCGTCTTCCGGTGGGTTTAATAACTTGTTCGGTTTCAAACCCGGCACTTGAGCCTCTCGGTGGACCCTGATCTGGCGCCTGACGTGAGATCTCTGCGACGATCCGGAATGAAGATGGGGTAGCCTGTTTTTCAACTCGACGGAATGAATCGTGGGCTGGAACTGTACAATGCTGGAGACGTGTTGAGGGTAACTCGAGCCCACCTTCTCTATGGACGGGGGGCCATTTTGACTAGTGTCGTCGGTTAGAGAAGATAGCCTGGGTTCGTAGAATCCGTTGCACAGGCTTTCGTTGGATAAAGTGGACGACGACAGAGACTGGCACTGGGATCTTCTGGAAAACTCCGAATCTCCGGAAAACTGCNTTTGCGGATAAATGGCGTAAATACTCACTTTATATTCAAAAAACGTTCGATTTTATGCCTATTTCGCTAGGACTAAAATAAAGCTAGTGGTTGTTACTATAGCAACCGGTAAACAACTCGGATCCACCTAGGTCGCCTATAAAAAATACTAAATAAAACGAATTTAAGTTAAATATATTTATTTGTATCGAATGTCTCTAGCCTTACGACTTGTGCTTCCTTTTGTTTTCTAAATAAAGCTTAATTTTTCTGCTTGGTGTATATATACACATATATATATATAATATATACATTATATACTTTGGAATTTTAATAATTCGAGATCTTCAAACGGAACAACAATTTCAAAAAAAAAAACAATGTACATTAAGTACGGTACATAAATAATCCTATAATTTGGTAACACGGAGCGTACAAAGCACTTATCCGGCCGTATAAAATGACGTCATTTATGTGTAAGTA